TTGCTGTTAAAATAGCAATGACTTCAAACCAACCACAAAAGAAAACTTGCAAAATAAAAGACAAACTCAAGTTTAAATTTTGGTGTTGTATTTACAATGACTTGACTCCATAGCATCACAAGGATGTGCTTCGTGACAACAGTATGTCTTTTCAATATCGGTAATTATATCATAAGGGTATTTTCAGAGTTATTAACCAACTTCCATGGACAATTCTTGTCATCCTACAACATAAGGGTATTTTCATAATTTTACCCTACCAAAGTATTTTCATAATTTCCCATCCAAGTACCTATAACATTTAACCTTTGATGCTATAAAATATAAGTTACAAATCTATGGCTGATTTCTTTATCACTAATCACAAACTTGTAATTTAATTCTAACAATCCCTCAATCTCTTATATTAGTCATTCGATCCGTATTCAGTTACCGAATTTCTACCACATTCATATCGAGTGCATAAATTAATCAACTCCACAAAAGTGACCAACATTATCTTATTCATGCATTTACTAATATCAACATGTTCTATAAAGCATAAAGAGGTAGTAAAGTATTACCTCGATTTTTGTGCAATATTGATCGACCATAAAAATTCCATTCGAACGCCTTTGATCTTTAATTCAACTTCCAATAATTCCTCAGATACATATCAACATAAATTATATAAAAAACGGAGCTTAATTCTGAAAAACGGATCGAATCGGATGATAAATCAGTGAAAAATAGCTTATCGGGTTCGAATTTGGCGAAACAGACTTCGGATTCGGATTCAGGACATCGAAAGCATAAAATATGACTTTTCGAAGATTTAGAATTTTCGGTCAAAATCAAAGTCAACGGGTTTGATTGGAAATTTCGAGGTCTTCGTGTTCGAATTTCAAAAAACGGACTGCGGAATCGGATTTGGAACGTCGAAAAATGTCAGGATAGGTATACTCGGTCAAAATCAAAGGTCGTTTAATTCCCGGTCAAAGCCGGTCAAAGTTTTGGTCAACTATGGTCAACGCCGGTCAACAGTCAATGGGTCAACAGTCGACCATCTTGCACAAATATCACCCTAACAAAAATTAATTACCAAATTAGCCACATTCTGCAAATATTTACCAATCTAACACCCGAATTTTACACAAATAGCACCCAAACATAAATTAATTACTAAATTATCACCCAGACGATGCCCACTCTCAAGGGGTGGCGCGTGTGGCGCGTGAACAGTGCTACGGTGTCGGAAAATTCCCAGAAAAAACTCTTAAAAATTATTTTAATCGATGAAAAACCAACTGAAATCGAGTTATTACCGACGATACTTCCGACTGAAATTAACGACGAACGGCGACGATTCACGACGAAAGATTTGAGGGGTTTTGTTCCTCGGTCAACAACGAACACGATAATGGTTTCGGTTCGTCGATCGGAGGTCAGACGGCGAGTAGATCGGAGTTGAAATAAGAGTTGTTGGAGAGGGAAAACAGAGAAAAATCTGCAGAAACAATCGGGAAATAGGTGTTATAATTCATCCCAAAACAAAAAGGTCAAATGAGTTTAGCCATTGAATTTCTTGCACTTCTTAAAATGATCTGTCAACTTTGAAATTTTATAATTTAGTCCACCGTTTCTTTCAAAATACCAATTAAATCCAATACTTTATAATTTCTAAAATTTAACCCCTAAATTAAGGTGTTACAAGTCTTTTTACGGAGTTATCAACCGTCGAGCACTCCACACTGATAACGCCACCAATACTGATCGTGATCTTTGTCGAATTTCGCGCCCATCGGTCAGAACTCCACCTACAAGCAAAAACGAGAAAAACAAAGTAATCAGAAACAAGTTTGGGACCATTTTTTTTATAAACAAGAGGGGTTCTATAAAATCCCCTCTCTAACAGTTGTAAAATGGATTTTTTCCCACCATTGTAAAAAGATTCCATAGCAATAAAGAAGTGAAACTTTTCCTTGTCAAAAAATTGCAGCAGAAAGTTTTTCCCCGATTCTTGAAGAATCAATACACCGAACACAACCAAGAACCATTTTCATTTGAAACAAACAAGTAAATACAAAACAAAAAGATACAAAACATTCAACCATTTTCTAGAATCATTTTCGTGCTTCGTTGAAAACAAAAAGAGATACACAATTTCCAGCAACACATTCAAACCCAAAAGGAGGAGAAAACAGAACCATTGAAGGAATACAGAGTTTTTTTAAAGGTATTTTTCATGATTTTTGAAAAATCATAGCAACGTTTCTTTGGATTTTTCATTTACTTCATTCGAAACAATTATAGAAAGGGGAAAGTTTCGCTTACCTTTCTTCGTCTGAGAGTCATCTCGTCGTTGGAGTGGAGCATCGTCGGATCCGATGAGTTGAACGGTTGAGCTTGCATCAGTTTGGGCCTCTTTTTTTGGGGTTCTGAAAGAAAAAAGGGTAGGTTCTTTTTTAAGAAGTACGTCGACCATTTGGGAAGTTGGGTTTTGGTTTATTAGATCTCAATTTAGTTATTTTTTAGATGGAGTAGGTCTCAGTTCTGTGATAGGGGAGTTTTGGGACCTATAGTCTCCATCAATGGTGGCCAAGGAGGAGTGATCGCCAATATGTGGTGGTGTTTCTTGGTCACAGCCTTTTCGGTCGGGGTAGAGAAGAGAGTAAATGTGAGCAATCGAATCCCTTTTAGCTCTATTGGGTGGCCTTTTCAGCTACCCATGCTTTGTTTGACGTCCGACGAGGGGGATGAGCACCGGTGCTTGACAGTCAGAGCGATTTTGAAGCCTTAGGGTTGAGGTGCCGCCACCAGTGGGAATAAGTTGTGGATAGTGAGAAGAAAAAATGAGAGGGGAGGCCTTTTATGATTAGGCTCTTTTTTACCTGAAGTAGAAAAAAAAGTATTATATCAAAAGTTTAGGGTTATTCATGTAATGATCCCTTAATTACTGTCGTGTTTTTATATTTTGGTCACGATACCTCTATTTTGTTTTATTTTTTTACTTTTGGCCTTTTCTTTTATTTTTAGTTCGATTTAGCCACTTCTTAATTTTCTGTTTATTTCGATTTAGATTATGTTTTTGTTACCTTGTTACATTTAGGTCACTTATTTATTTTTTTAATTTCGAATTAGCTACTGTTTTTTATTTCCTTTTAATTTGGCCACTGTTTTTAGTTATAATATGCTCATTATTTATTTTATTTTAGTGTTTTATTATTTATTATTATTTTAAACGTTAATACATCTTTGTGGCGACCGGTCTTGAGGTACGATCAACATTATCATGGCCCGTATAAAATTCTAATTTCTAACTTTTCTAATTTATTAACCTCTAACTTTAATTATATTTGATCCCTTTAATTTGTTATTTACCTTTCTGTTATTTAGATTTCTGCTCCTTTGTTTCTATCTTTGTTATTTTATATTTAGTACCTATTTTTAACATATTCATGTTTCGATCTTAGTTCTTTACTACACTCGCATATGCCTTACAATCGATCTTAGTTCTTTACTACACTCGCATATGCCTTACAATTTTAATAAACTTTGTTTTGAGTATTAAATATTTTTATACATATGAACCATTTACTAAAATAATATTATTTTATATGAATTATTTAATAAAATAATATTATTTTATATGAGGAATTTATGAAAATGCACCTTAACAATGAGTGTGTTTAAGAGAATTATTCGTATAGAATAATACATTTGCATTTTTATATATTCGACTGATTTTATATATTAAATATGTGTGTTCTCTTCAGAAAATTATCTTATATGGGAAGTTTATACTTAATTAACAAGAATGTGTTTTCAAGAATTAACCACAAAATAACATTGTTTTTACTCCGAATTCTTTATTTTATTTCATTTACTCTTTATATATATATATATATATATATATATATATATATATTAAATATAATTTGATAAAAAGAAATTCTCTTTTGAATAGAGAATCCATAAAAAAAAAACACGCCTTAACTAATAAGGAGTATGTTCATCTTAACTAACAAGGAGTATGTTTTTTATGATTATCCATACGAAATAATTCTTTTTTCAAAATTTTTGTTCTAATAGGATCATAATTTAAATATATATTCAAATTTGTGAATTTCAATATATGAGTATCGATTTTGGGCGCTATAGGGCGATAATCATTCCCCACGCGTAATCGACTCTCCAATTTTTTTTCAAAATAAGTTTCTAGTTAAACGCGTATCACTTTTTATCTTTTAAAATAATTTTTCTTAAAATTATTTTACTTTTTATCTTTTAAAATATTTTTTCTTAAAATTATTTTAAAAGATATTTTGCTTCAGGTGTTGACTTACCTACTTAATTCAAATGTCAATGACGACTCAAAATTTATTTATTTATGCATTTATTTTAATACTTGATATTATTTTATTAAATTTAATCCTTATTTATGCATTTATTTTAATACTCGATATTATTTTATTAAATTTAATCTAAATGTCAATGACGACTCAAAATTTATTTATTTATGTATTTATTTTAATACTCGATATTATTTTATTAAATTGTATCGCTGCCCGCCATAGCCTAAAACGTTCTGACAAGATCAAACCATGCATACATCTCTTACCAGTAGCCTTAAAAGGTACAACACTTGTTATTACTACAAGTTATTTTTTTATCTATCTATCATTAAAGCATATAAAATGACTAGTAGGAAAGTAACTGACAAAAGGCGGGTGATTTAGGGTTCTAGTGACCACCAGTAGCTTCTCCTTGATCTTATCCATCACCCCTTTCTTCTCCTGTTGTGTGAGGATACGTAGGCCCTTGCCCCGGCGTTGTGGCTGACGCCGCCTGATATTGCTGCTCTTTGTGCGCTCCTCCTGGTAACTTCTCCTTCAGCTTATCTTTCACTCCCTTCTTCTTCCTCCCTATTCCCTCGTCCTCAGATGACTGCATCAATATCCCACAATTATTACTATCCCTATTTCATCATTTGTTATTCAAACATACCAACGTATACTTACGGAACTCGAGCTACAACTTCCACTGCGACGGAGTCCATGATGCTTTCCTTGATGATGCCCGCCGATCCCTGCAATTCCACGGCCCGTCTCCTGTGCCGGAATCGGGTTGCCGTACTCATCGGTCTGGCGAACCGGGTTGCCAAAGGCGTCTGTTTGGGTTACTTCGGGAGCTGAATATTGGTTTTGGAAGTGTGCCATATTTTTTCTCTCAACTATAAACCTGAAACAAGAACAATGAATGCTTGAAAGAAAACTGGGATGTGATTGTTTTAATCGGTGGAAAGTTGATAGGGTGAAAAAGGGTTTTTATAGTAGAGAAAAATGAATGCGTAGCATGTAGCCATGAACACTGCAAAATGACACTAGCTGTTCACTCGGTTGCCACGTTGTTGTTAGCTAAGTGTCGCAATAGTATCAAGGACAAGTGTTGATGATGTTAGCTATTTGGCATTAGATAAGATTCATTATTTATTTCCCTCCTAATGATCATAGATCATTTCATATTCTTTGAATATAAAGATACATCCTCATCCAATAAATTATAAGCTCTTTGTTTATTTATTTATTTTGAGTAAATTACAAATTTAATAATTATATTTTAATTTTTTTATTTCAATACTTTAAAGTTATTAAATTTCTTTACTAAACTTAATACATTAATTTTTTCATTCAACCGTTTTCTCACTAACAACAATATTAATGGGTTGTTCTATAGATGCAAAACATCGTCGTTTTAGTGAAAATTTTGTTTTTTTTAAATTGTATCGTTTTAACGCCGTTAACCATTTAACGGTGGAATGATAAAAAAACTCAATGTATTTAGTTTAGTGAAGAAATTGAAAACTTTTAAAGTTCAGTGAGTAAAATACGAATTTAGTGATGAAATTTGTAATTTACCCTATTTTTGTTATAATATAATTTTGTTGATATTATAAAACCCATCTAGTGATCTTAGTTATAAAGAAAAATATTAATCTCTTTCGAAATTTTGAATTCAAACAATAACATTTGTTGAAGTTAATCAAGTGATTTATTGCTAAGAATTTGAATTCTTATTGCGACCTTTATAATATTTATATATAACATAGTAAACCTGAAGCATTCATTTAGTTGTTTTGATGGAAAATGAAAATTTAGTTAAGTAATTACTTCGTATAATTATTATATTATTTAAATTAATTTATTTAACAAAAATTTAATATTTTAGTTATGGTTTATTATGCACATTGCGTTATTAGATTGTGAAATTGTATGCAAAGTAATAGGTAAAAGTAAGTATTAATTAATTGATTATAAAAAAGTTTAATAAATTATAGATTACAGTTGTTTATGATATGAAAGATAACTTAGGTCGATAGATAATTTATAGTTCGTATAATTATTCTTAGTATATAATTCATGTTAAAATTATTATATCATTTAAATCTAAAATATATATATCTTATTTATTAGGATAAGTACACAAATGATCCTATGACAATAGGATATTATTTTATTGAGTTCCCCGACTATAAGGAGTTGTTTTGTTAAGTACTTAGACTATTCAAAGTTACAAAATGGTCATATGACTATTCATTATGTTCCAAACTCGTCCTTTTCCGTTAAAAAATTAACGACAACCTGAGATGGGCGTTAACCTACTGACTGAGATATGATAAAATCCGAAATCATAATCTCAAACCGCTACCATATCTTAGTTAATATGTTAACGTTCAGCTCAGATTATTGTTAATTTCTTAATGGAAAATGACGAGTTTGATACATAATAAATAGTCATGTGACAATTTAAAATTATTTTTACAATTGTAAATAATATTACATAAATAATTTCTTATTGTCCTAAATACTTTTTAACTTGAGTTGAAAAATAAATTATAGTTTTTAATTTTTGTCATAAATATTTTTAATTTATCCTAGTTAATATAATTAATATATATATATATTTAAAAAATTAAAAATCAATATTTAGTTATTTGAAAATATTTTTAACAATTAAAAAGGTATGTTTTCACAGTGAATACTAAACTAGGGTCCCGCGTGAAGATAGCTTGCGACGTTAGCAGCTTGCGCAGCAAGAAAAAGCGTCGGCGTCCCTCCCACTCTCTCCTTTTTCTTTGAAACGCGTAGAAGAAGCGACGACGTTTTTGACTTTGCACCTTTGTTTTTCTGAAATAAACCAAACATTAAGTGCTTCTCTGATTCTTCTTTCGAACAAACTAAAGCACGCCGTCCCCATGGAATCATTCTTTATGCTAAGCACATTAAGAAGCATCGAAAAGGACGAAGTACTAAACTCAAATGAATTAGCATAAATTTCTTAACGCTGAGTCAATATAAAATTTCAAACTTTTCATTTACTTTATTATAAATTGTTCCTCTTCACGAATTTTCCCTTTTTTTTTCTTATCGATGGTTGAAATGTACTCTTGCACACAGTTCTGGGGCCATTAGCCTGTTCCAGTCAGCCAGTTCCCACCGTTGGTGTTAATTTCCATTAACTTTCCTTTTTTATGGAAACCCCCATGACTCATCAACACGTTTCACCTTACACACTCATCTTCTGACACTTTATATAACCCTCTGCCTCCATCCTTCTTTCCAAGTGTTCCTCACTCTTCACTCGACCGCTCCATTGAAATTTTCCTCCCTTTTTTGTTTTCTCATGTTTTTTCTCAGTTTCCAAACAGGATAAGCAAACACAGGGGATATAGAAAATGGCAACAATGTTGAAAGAGTTGCCTTCTTTGTCCACTCTTCTCTCCGCTTACGCCTCCATTTCAGTCATGGCCATGCTAATCCGTACAATTTTAAATGATATGGTCCCCGAAAGGATGAGAAACTACATCACCTCGAAACTTTATGATCTCACAGCTGCTTACTTCTCATCGGAGTTTGTCTTCGTAATCGAAGATCGATGGCATGCTGGTGATAACCAAATGTTTAGAGCTGCTGAGGTGTATTTGCCGACCATAATTGGACCCACCAGTGACAGTATTCTTGTAGGTTTCGATGAGTCCAGCGACCCCATGGAACCACCAAAACGAAGCATCCCTGTGGATTGCACCATCACTGATGATTTCGATGGCATGCGCTTGCAATGGTCTTTATCTTCTATAGAAACAAAGAAAATCTACCACCCCAATAAGAGATTCAACTTGACCTGCAAGAAAAGTGATGGAGAAAGAGTTGAGCAAAGGTACTTCCCGTATATAAACAAGACAGCTAAAGCAATCATAAGCAAGTGTGAGACACTCAACATTTATACAGATGATCAAGACTGTTCCATGTGGGAGCCTACGGTTTTCAAGCACCCTGCGACATTTGAGACCCTGGCAATGGAGCCCGAAGGAATTCATAATGAAGGATCTTGACACATTTGTGGAACGCAAGGAGTTTTTTGAGAACGTCGGCAGGGCTTGGAAACGTGGGTTACCTTTTGTATGGTCCACCAGGGACAGGAAAATCATCACTGGTTGCCGCAATTGCAAATTACATGAGATATAATGTATATGATCTTCAGTTTCAAAGCGTCAGAAGTGATTCCGAACTCAGAAGCATACTCACATCCACCACAAATCGGTCAACTCTGCTTATTGAAGACAGAGATTGTAGCACCAAAGTTACGCATGATCGAACCAAGGCCAATGAAAACAGTGATGAAGAAGATGAAGATGAACTCAAGCGTCCAATGGGTATCGATCCCGGGGTAATTCATTCGTTTCTTTACTTGGTTTGATTGAAGTTGAAACAAGCCTTTCGGTTCTCTAATTTAACATAATTTTGCAGGTAACACTGTCAGGCTTACTCAACTTCATTGATGGATTGTGGTCAAGCTGTGGGCACGAAAGAATCATAATCTTTACCACAAATCATAAGGAAAAGTTAGACTCAGCACTTCTACGGCCAGGGCGAATGGATGTGCATATTTACATGGGATATTGTTCACCAGCAGGATTCAGGAAACTTGCATCTTCATATCTTGGGATCAAAGACGACAAACTGTTTGGCTGCATTGATGACTTGATTAAAAGTATTGAAGTTACTCCGGCTGAAGTGGCGCAACAACTGATGATCAATGATGAACCCAGAGTTGCACTCCAAGGTCTCATCGAATTTCTTAACACAAAGAAGAAGGATATAGAGGAAGCTGCAACTGAAGAGAAGGAAAAGAGCATTAAAGAAGAGGAAGAAACATAAGAAAAGAAGGTAGAGAGGCAAAATTCAGAGCTTGCAGAGTCTGAAACAAGATGCATATATTTGACTTGGTTTAGCTATCTGTCCAGTTATGGGATAACAAATGTGTTTGTTTATAATTAATTACCTATTGGTTCTTAAAAGGGATGAATGTCATGAAGACGACTCGATTTTTGGCGCTTAAATAGCAATGACTTCAAGCCAACCACAAAAGAAAACTTGCAAAATAAAAGACAAACTCACAAGTTTAAATTTTGGTGTTGTATTTACAATGACTTGACTCCATAGCATCACAAGGATGTGCTTCGTGACAATAGTCATGGTTAAATTTCATTTCTAGATCGGGTGTCCAGTTAGGATCCTGCTGATCAAAGCTATTGCACAACAAATAATCTCTATCATCGCAACGATGAAAGAGGTAAACCCTGGAGAAAGTTATATGAAGGTGGTAGTATATCTTTAGCTGATGATAGAGATCCAATTAACTCATCTACTTGCCATGCAAACTTCATCCCCTACATTCTTTGTTATCCAATTTTCATGTACCCTGCAGAAGTGGGAAAACAATTTTAATGCATTGAAACAAAATTTAATACTAATGAATTCTATGCATTCCGAGTGCTATTCACTGAACTAGCAAACTATTTAAGGGGAAATAACATGAATGCAAAAGTTAATGTTGGAGGGCATTGACAGACTTCTGGAACACGGAAATGAAAGACATTGAATAAAATATATTACAGTAATGATGACATTCTTCCAGGCATCCAAACATTATATTATATACATATATATTGTAACAGATTTTTCTTTTTCATTCTTCAAGCAAGCAAGTTCTATTAGTGTCGGTCCATGGTGAAAGACATTGCTGCCCTAGTGGAGAGTAAAGATGTAATTGTTAGGCATATATTAAGAGCTGCTAATTGGGAATCGGATAAATTAGCTAAAGAAGGAATAGGATGATTATTAGGGTATTGGTTAGGTTTCTGCTTCTGAGCTGGTTTTATTTCTGTTCTTTGTTTGGTTTTTAAGTGTTATGTCGTAACAGGGGAAGAAGGAGACAATCAAGAGATCAATTGAGACAGACCTTAACTGAGATGCTGCAGATTCACCACAATCAGAAAAGTTGACCTTGATAACAGGGAGTAAATCTAACTTCAGACTAGATTCTGCTGCACTCGATGTGTCCAAGCAATAACCAGAACAGCACCAAGAATTTGGATTTAGAAGAATGATTTGCAACAAGGGAGACTTGGTTTTCAAATCTCTAACCAAAGTTCGAAATGACAATTCATCTTTCGCATTTTCCGGTAGCTGATTAATGAACATTCTTTCCAAGATACATTTCCGGTTCATGATGAGCAAACTTTAAGCCCGCAGTATAAAATTTATCAATCGCAATAAAGCAACGCTTCACAGCTATCTAATCACCATAATGACTCATATGTCGGCAAATATCAGAACAAAATATCTTTATGGTAATTGTGCCAAATTGCCAAATGATTTTGTGCTCACCTGAATAAGTCCCCTGATCCACCACCAGCTGACGAACAAGTTGAAATGTAGCATTTGAAGAATCGAACTGCACCATCAATCGGCGTAGCACCATTATCAAAAGGACAAGCTCCAAGGAGTGATAAACAGTTAGGGCATACAAATTCCACCCAATCAATATCCATCGAGAGATTGTAGGATTTAGCCATAAAGACATTTCCAAGAAAACCATTAAGGAACAATTTCTGATTAGCCAAGAGCTTTGAAGTGTTTTGCTCCACCGGACAAGTTTCAGGGACATTGGTTTGGCTACCTTCATCTAAATGATTTTTTATGTGATCTGCGGCATGAACACAACATCCTGGCACTGACGTTTCGGTTTTAGAGAAAACTGATACAGGTAATGCAGAAAAAATTTCACTACCACTAGCTTCTTCCTTATTAACTAGCACACTTGTACTAACAGTATTATTCTTAAGATGAATAGAGCTCAACTTCTCGCATAAGTCATTCGTTCTCTCTTGAGAACTTAACATATCTTCACTCAAACCAGAGTCACTCGCAAAACCTAATCCAGGCTGGTATTCATCAGTTCCATTATAAAGTTTACATGCCACAAGATCATCCTTGCAAAGAAGAACATTTGTTAGGTTCAAAAGGCACACAACCTTGGCACATTGATAGGAATTTGCAAATCTAGTCACCAACTTCTCACTTATACCCCCAAATGAACAGCAACAAGTTCCAAACCAATTATCAGCGACCTCTCGCCAGTCAATTGATGGCATTTCCATTAATTCTCTACATAAATAAACCAAAATCCGAAAAATCAAAAGCAAAAAGGCAACAAGCAAAGGGATAACAAAAAGTACATATATTTGAAACTGATATTAATGAGCACAACGAAATGATATCATGTGAACTACCTGAGAGTACTTCTAGTCAGCCTAGTTGAGCAATTTCTTCAATAGAAGTGCACTCCTCCTTCCATTGATGACAGACTCTTCAAATCTAACACACACAAAAAGAGAGATAAAGGAATGAGCCAAGAATAGAATGATTTAAGCATCCAATCAGCTGCCATAAGGAATGACAAAAAACAAAAAATGTAAGTCTTGCCAAAAAAAATAGTTTTTGCATATAAAATATAGAAGTAATATCAGCACCACTAGTTATAGTTCTCTGTTCAAAACAATCATTTCTTTTATTGTTAAAAGCACTAGCTTTTGCATTCTTACTTCCAGAGTATAACGTTAAATACTAAAAATAACAATTAAATGGAACCTAAAAATTGAACTAACCAGTATCCAGCACCAGTGGCTTTGCAGCATCGAACGAGGGGGCATTATCGCCATTTTCAGATGAATCCAACATCACATCGAAGGTATAAACGATGGGATGATCAACAGGTAGAAGCAAAACAAGCTTAACCTCAATGTGATCATCCAAAGCTCTAAAACTCACCGGTGCTTCGGAATCGATTAAAACTCGAGGAATCGGAACCCTGAGCGACACCTCTTCCGCCTCCTCTTTGAGCCACGAAACGAGAAGATGAGATTGAGACAGAATGATTTGACCTTTGAGATTTCTGCATTGTACCGAAGGTCTTGTTTGAGAATCGAAGAGGAATAAACGGAGATTCGGAGAGTGAGACTGCGCTTCCCATGTGAACATTTTTTTAGGGTTTTTCAAGGTTTAACATTTTCCCTCTTCTCTGGGCTCCTCGAGTGCTCAGTTAAGTTTAGGGGATGTTTGTTTGTCTATTAATATAATCATTCAGCGTTAAATGTTGAACAACGTGTTTATTTCGTATTTTTAAATGATTTTGATTGATTCAGCAAAATAATATTGAATGATTCAACAAAATAGTGTTGAATGATTCAGCAAAACAGTGCTAAATGATTCAGCACAGAAGTACATTCTGAATGATTCAGAGCCATTATCAAATAGTATGTCACATTCAGAACTAATTTATACAGAGCTTCTGAATCATTCAGTATTTGAATCATTCAGCGCTTAATCATTATGAAGTAAACAAACATCCCTTAAATTAGTGTTCATTAAGCGCTTAAATTTAAGGGTAAACTACCCATATAGTCACTAAACTATAAGGTTGATTATATTTTAACTACTAAACTAAAACGTTTTTCAATTAGACTACTCAACTATTAAATTTCTATCAATCAAACCACTTATTGATAACTTTGGCGAGGATATGTGAATTAGCTAAATTTGTACAATTATATTTTTTTATCCTCATTACTTTAAATACTACAATAAAAATTATATTAATTAAACTAATGATATTATTAGTTTTAAAAGATATCTTAGAAGTAATATATACACACATACTAACATAAACCACTAAAGTTTGATTTGTCAGACTGCCTTTTGATAACATTGTTAAATAATTAATATAAAGGCCTCTTTCCTCTCGGAGATTCCAACGAAAATGGAAATTCACAATGGGTCAATTAAAACGAAGAAATGTGGGTTAACACTTTGAGCAGTCCAACAACGACTACAAAGACAACATCAAATCGCGAGAAAGGCCTACATAGAGTAAATGAAGAAAATGAAGCTCGTCAGTCTAGTGTAATGAGCACTTATGGTCTAATGAAGGTTGTTCTATGGTGATCGCTTTTGGAATTAACACATTGTGTATTTGCATTATCGTTTTGTATTAGCTTATCAATTTTGCTATTTGCTTCTATAATAATCTTGTTATATCATTTGTACTAACTTGTTTTTATGATTGTTTTTCTTTTTACTTGCATCACATGATCATGACATAATCAAAAGGTGTTGATTTGTGAGTGGTCATCAGAGTAAAACGTTTTCATGATGGACAAATGGTTTTACGATCAAGTAAACTATAACACAGTTAGGGAATGACATCTTGAGGAGACTCTGAGGATAGTGGAGAGTTATGCACCCAAATATCGTATGTCCGAAGAAGAGCAAAAGGTGATAAGAGATATAAGAGAGTAAATGTCCAAGAAGATGGATAGATTAGCTATTCTGGCCAAGGGAAAAGAGACTTCTGCAAGAGAAATGAAAGAGCTCGATGAAAGCAATCTTGCTACGTTAAATATATAAGGGACTACTTTAGAGCAAGCTAATCCTAGCCAATCTGAGAAGTCACACACAGTCACCATTCGTATTAACAAGTTGTCTGGAGACCCCAAGGAAATAGTGACAACTGTAGAAGTTCATAAAGATGAAAAGAAGCCCTGCAATTAGAACTCGTGGTCATTTGAGAGTTTGCTCCCAACGTCAAGAGAAATAAACATTAAGACTCCAGTTCAATCCAAGTCAAAAGGAGCTCAAGGATATTCCATTGAGAATTTCACCACTTTCAAGCATCGAGACCAACACCTTTTAGATCATGGATTTCGAGATGAAAGGTCGACCTAGTTTGGTAACTGATTGTCCTATTAGGTTGGAGCTAAAAGCGTTCAAAGGTAAGGATATCAGTGGGGTATCTAAGAGGAAGAAGGTTTGTTAAGGTACGAAGATCAAGTGTGTCCCTTAAGGAGTGGACAACAGGGGTCACTAAATTGAAAACGATGTTGAACAATGGAGAAAGAATAGTAAGATATATGAAGGTCGAGCCAAGAAGTCCTTTCATGTTTTACAGGTTGCAGAAAGAAGACATAATACATCCATGGATGATTTGGAAAGATGCCAAATCGAGAATCAGATATTGGATATGTATATAGCTAACATGGAAGCTTCATATCAGCGCCACAAGTGAGATTTATGTTGATCTAGAAGCCACTAGAACCAGGAACAAGAGATTGATGAGGATTGTAGATAATTTTGAAAATATTGCCCAATGAGTTCATAACAACAAAGACTTTCTTACGAGGAAAAATTAACAACATTTTCTACAGCTCCGAGAATTGACGCAGAAGATGAAAGAAAAAGACGATGGCATGAAAGAAGCTATGATCCAAGCAAACAATGTGGCTCACAAGTTGATTCATTTAGTTGGATTCGCAAGAAAATTGAAGTAGATTGACAACTCAGCACCCGAGCATGAGAGGAAGTTAAATTGGCTTATGAGAGAAATAGAAAAGTTAGGAGTTAATGCAATCCCTTGTATATAAAGTTTATTTGACATACCGAAGCCCTTGTGTTCAATGAAAGTTGTTTAAGATGGTCACTCTGGAATGACACCTCTTACATTTGCATCGCACCTTTTACGTTTTCATTTCTGTATTTTCGCATTCGTATGTGCATTTTTTGCATCTTTACATTCACATATATACATCATACATTGCATAATATACATTGAATCTTAACATGCATTAATCATGGATCTTGGTAGTACCGCGCGGAGATTCTTGTTCAAAAAATATTGAAGTTGAATTGAGGCCACCACATTCGCGCTTAGTGAAGATTGGAGAGCTAGGGATATGAAGCTTGGGGCATGCCGCTAAGAACTGTGGGGTACCGAGGAGCAAGTTACAAAATCTGATCGATTAGGGAGCATGGTTTTTTAATGAGCAAGTGGGCCATTAGATTGTAATAACCCTGAATATCCAGCCAAGCACCCACACTTCTGATGAGTAACGGGGCATCCTAATTAGGAAAAGTTCATTTCATTTATCATGAAGCTCTATTTCACTTACAGGGTCTTGTTTGAGTTTGTTTTTGTTCTTCTTTTCTTTATTTACTAAATATTTTGTAAAAATGATTGATGATTGAACTTATGCTACTTTTAAGGCTATAAGCAATGAATCAAATTTTTAATCCATTAGTTCTTTGAGTATCAAATTAATTAAAGATTCTTTAAATTTTTCAAGATTTATAGATCTTCAACAAGTGGCAAAATTAGACCTTTCATATCTCTTCCAAAGCCAAAAACACAA